TGCCGGGGCTGGCACATGGTTCCAGAGCATCCCAAACCCAAATCCCTCGTGCTTCATAGTTCCTAGAGCCAGGCAGCACAGGAGCTTTACAGCTGTTAAACCTGCTGCTGCCACAAACCTGCGTGTGAAGTGGTTTGTGAAGTATTTCTTAGCCCATCCCTGGCACTGCAGCACACAGCCTGGGGAAGCAGCTCACCCCTCCAGCCCTTTGGACTAGGTGTGTGTCATCCCTCACCCCTCACACGGCAAGAAACTGAGGTCCAAGTGCAAGGACCTGAGATCTCTCCATAACCCCCCGGCTCACTGCCCCCCGGAGTGAGGCTGCTTGGCCAACACTTCCCACGCTCCCTCCTGCAGCAGGACCGGGCTGGGGCCTCCTCCAGCCCATGGGAAGATGGAGCAGGGAGCAGCAGGGAGCGGGAGCATGGCTCAGGGTGCAGGGAACCATCTGCACCGGCTGCAGCATCATCAGTTCCAGCTGAGGACGAACGTTTCCTCCAGCTGCTGCAGGAAGGGATGGGCCCAGGGGACAGTGAAGCAGCTCACCCACAGCTCCGAGGCACATTCCCTGCGCGGGGCCACAGCAATTCCCTGCTGTGATCCAGGAGTCTCCCTGGGCTCCGCTCCAGCTTTCCGCTCACGTGGAGAGCGTTCCCGTGCAACGTTACCCTGTTGTCTGCACTAATTGTTCTCCTGACAGAAAAGCCCATCGATTCCAGAGGACAAAACCTGCCCTTCTCTGTGCCACACGTATCAGAACAAGGATCTTCCTTTTGTGTGGACTGAAAATGCCGTTTTGTGCTGCTGGAACTGAAGAGCTGGAAAATGACACTTTAAATGGGAAGAGCATGGACATCATCTCAAAATCTCCCATGGGAGAAGGGAAGCACCTCTGGAAGAGCAGCTCCGTGATCTCCAGTGGTGTGCACTGCAGCCAGAGCCAGCTCCATCCTCAGCTCTGGTCCCACACAGCGGTTGTTTCTCCTTCCCCCAGCACTTACACACAGCACAAAGCAACGCTCTGACACGAGCTCTGCCCTTGACTTTCCTCCCCATCACTTTCAAGCCCTTCATTGCTGGAGGACCACATC